TGGCACCTAGAATCACACTGGATTCCTTTCACGGCAACCCATCCTTCCTTGCCATGGACTTTCCACCTGGGGAACAGTCTGGAACACAGATTGTGTGTACCATTCCTTAGAGCTCTTTTCTGCTCCAGAAAATCCTCCACCTTGCAAGACTCAAACATGCATGCAAAACCCTATGTTTAGATGACAAAAGTCAGGTGAACTAGTTTAGGGTAGATGAAACTGGTGTGCTGTCAGATCAGCATCAGTGGATTAATGGTTATAAAATCCAACACCTACAACAGTCTGGGAGTTCTTCCAGGATCCGGCCCCTCCCTGCGTGCCCTGCTTGACAGTCTCTTTGCTCCAGCCACATGAACTGCCTGTGTTTTTTGTCATCATCACACCGTTCTTGATCTCTTCTTTGCTCTCATGGTACCCACTACCTGAAATCCTCTCCCTAAACTATTGGAGCATTTACTGCATTATATAATAATTTATATAATAAATTATATATATATAATTTTACCCTCTTAATTATCCCTATCATTTTAATCTCCAAATCTGAATCACCTGGCAGAAGTTTTCAGCAATGTTTATTCAGCAAATCAATGAAGCAGTGATGGAATGTCCAGTTGGGTGATCTGTAAGGACCTCCAAGTCAGTTTGACCTACCCAGACACGTTAGCAAATACACCAGTACCCCCCAGAATAACCTGAGTGGTCCACCTCTGTGTTCCCTACTGCCCTGACATTCCTGGCCCCTTAAACACGTCATCAAAGGACAGCCTCTGTGCTCCTGGCTCCCCTTATTACACCATGCTTTTCTTGATGTTGGAAACCCCAAGTCTCTCAGCTCTGCCTGTAGCATCTGGTGCAACACTCAGCACATAGTAGATGCTCAGTAGTTGTTGGTTGGATGAATAAAAAGAAAAGAAAGACCAAAGGGAAGTTAGCTGACCCTTTCTCAGTAAGGTCTTGTCATCAGTTTTCCAATTTCTAGAAGAAGTAACTGCATAAGGCTGGGTGTGGTGGCTCCTGTCTATAATCCCAGCACTTGGGGAGGCCAAGGTGGGAGGATCACTTGAGGCCAGGAGTTGAGCTTACAGTGAACTATGATGGCGTCACTGTACCCAGCCTAGGTGACAGAGTGAGACCCTGTCTCTAAAAAATAAAATAGGGCGGTGCCCTGTGGCTCAGTGAGTAGGGTGCCGGCCCCATATACCAAGGGTGGTGGGTTCAAACCC